CACTCATTAGTCAGTAAACATGTATTTTCAAAAAACAGAATGGCTGAAGGTAGTGTGGAGTGCTTTTCAATTTACAGAGCACCGAGTCTCTGTGAAGAGCCCTCCCCGTAATCAGTGTGAGCACCTTGGGAGCTGCAGCTGCCCTGTTCAAATACCTCACCTGAATATTAAATCCCATAATGTTTTTGAGCTCTGACATTCACTCAGCAGGGCACGATGCTGTTGGAAATAGGTCTCACCTGCAGAGCTGGAGACCATGTCAGCGATGTTCTCTCTCTATATATTGCCATGACTCAGGAATTGATTAGCCCAGCAGTCCAGCCAGCTCTACGTCCGGCTTCAGCAGTGACCAGGCTTGTTGTTTGACTTTATATTTTTTTTTTAGATAAGAAACTGTGTTGGGTTTTCTTTTCATGAAACTGGCCAATTGATTTGATGGAAATTTACACTTCACTTTGCTTCCCCTCTTTTCCTCATTCCCAATACCTAGATTTTGGTCAGAAGTGTTGTCTTTTTCTTTTTGAAACTGTACTTCCTAATAATTTCATCCAAATAAAAGACAGTCATTTTAAGACCTTTTTGGAATCTTTTTGAGGAAACCATTATTTTTTAAAAATCCTATTAAAAATGGTAGTTTGAACCTTCAGCAACAAATAATTGTGGAAAAATGTATTTCCTCAAAAAATTTCTTCTCGTTTGGCAAGGGTGAAAGCTTAACAACTTATTAGCCTGCCTAAATCATGTACCCAAACTGCATTCGGAGAACTTTGGTGATGCACAGTTTGAGTCATGGTAGACAAGACACCGTCTCCTCTCAGTTTTAATTTGATACATGGAATATGATGTCGGGTTGACTACTGTATAATACATGGTAAACACTTTTCTGTAGGACAGCTGTATCTCAGGTGTACAGGAATAGCTAATAATTAGTGCCAGTAAATCATTGTGGTGCAAACCACGAACATTATCACTCAGTTTGTAATTTACCCATGATGTGGGTACTTGTTCTTCTTAATACTTAATGTGCCTGTTTATAGAAAAGTTGATTGAGATAATTAGCAGTAAAAATGCTAAGGTAACACAGTTATGGTAACATTTATATTGCTATCAGTTTTGTTTATAGCAGCCTAAAGAGCAATACGAAAATTAGAAATTAACTACAATTAGCAAATAAATTGAGTGTCTCTTGGAATTACTTGATCATGTCTTAAAACGTTGCACAGTGTGATGCTCACAGAGGCAATGCCAAGTCCCTGGGCTGTAGCAGCTGCACTGAGTACGAGGAGCACACACAGCAGAAACCTGTTTGCTTTGCTGATGACGATGCTGGAGCTACTTCTGTGCCCAGCCCAGGGCATCTTTTGAGCCTGTACCTACCTTACCTTCAGTGCAGCCTGTTGCCCCGCAATACAGGTTTGGTAAACGCATGCTGTGAGACCACGAACAAAGCTTAGTATTGGGGCTTTGCCTCTTCATGGGGAGAAGGCAGCTGAGTGTGCTTTCCGGTGATACACACCCTTGTAAGGAGTGGTTCAGAGGGACCGTTCCACTTCCATGTTCTTGAAACACACATTTAATGTTGGCAACTCAGTATGAGACAAATAACTTGGATTGGAAATGTGTTGTTATTGCAGGAGATAAGTCATAGGTATGGAAGTTGGTTTCCTCTGATTGCCTGAAACACATCAGTTCAGAGGGACTTGCGCATCATTTTATGCTCACAGGTAGAAATAGTTTGCTTCCCGTAGTAAGGCACTTTAAGAACTCTGCTGGATAAATGCTGTATAGATGCATGTAATTCTTTTTCAGGCAGAATTTCATAGATGTGGAAAGAAATGGATTGTTTAGTACTGTTAAAATGTATCATTAAATACAGTTCTGAGGATGAAAAGAGAAGGAGAATTAACCAGTTTCAGGGGTAACTACCGATTCACCTCCCTCTTCTCTGTCTTATGCAGTAAAACTTCCCTCGTTCTTTCATCCTTCATTGTACTTCAGAGAGTTCTTGTAGTTAGTCAGACAGGCAATGGTTTTCTGAACCACTGTCTTCCAGTTCTGTGTCAGGCGGGGAGAAGGTGCTGCTAAACCTCCTCATCCTCTTGAATCGGACACATGTCTTCATCTAAATCTCACATGACTGCTTTGAACTACTGGGATCTTTTCCAGTTTTGGGTGCACATATTTGGTTCTACTACTGAAACTCCTTTAGTAATCACTGGGCTCGAAAGGGAAAGGGCACGAGCTTCACTCCATACTTAGCAGTGCACTGAAAGGGTGTGGGGATAGAGTCATGTCTGTGCTCCATTGAACAGCGACTAATCCTTATGAAATGAAACAGGAGACCTTGTCTGGCCTGAAGAGAAATGACCCATAGTCAAGCAGCTGTGGCATTTATCTGGGATATAGGGAAATAGTGGTGCGATGATGTATGCCTGGTGATACGTGACTAACTGCCTCCTCACCCCCAGTGCTGTACATCCAGTTCTCTGGGATTGGAAATCCCATCCTTATCCAGGAAAACAGTCCCGACTGGTGTTAGAAGTTGTGTATTCCCAGAAAAAGCAAGTCATCTGGGGTAAATCATCATCTTCATATGAAGCAAGATTTTCTTGAACATTCCTGACCCTTCCCTTCCATCTGTCCTTCCCCTTCTTCAGCAGATTTTGCCTCCTTAAAGAGCAAAACGGGGCTGAGGGGTAGAGGCAAGAGGTTACTGAACGTAAATGTAAAGCAATCTAGAGGACTGCAGACGGGGTGGTCACACCGCACTGCAAACTCATGCTGACTGCTGAGCACTGAGGATCCTGGCTGACAGGGTGAACATTATCTGGCCTGAGGCTGCTGCTGCCTTTTTCTGTTGTGTTTTCTTCAAAGCCAGGTGTCTGAATTCCCTGTGGATTTTATCTGAGGAGAATTTATCACTGATAAATAACTGTTTGTGTTGAATTTAGAGATGAGCTAAACTGTTTCATTTAATATTGCAGTTAGTACTTTTTCCTCTCCAGGTTTGCACAAACGCTAGCATTTGAAGGAAATAAATCTATCACTCAGATAATGTATTTGCCCTTGCTACCAAAATATATAAATAAAAATTACAAGGTCATTAGCCATATCAAAAGAAAGCAAAATGTGCCGTGCATTAAATAGCGACTTCCAGGATGGATTGGGCAAATAGCAGTATGCTAGAGTGTACTGCTCATTTCCCCTTCTGATCATAAAAATCAATTAATTCCTTTCTTTTTTGTGATGTTCCCCTTTGCACTGGAAACCCTCAGCATATGTCAGTCCAAATCTACGAGCAGTGTGTTTTTAGGTATCTTTCGTTTATCACATGTAAATTCCAGTGGCCAGTGATTTACTACAGAACTGTTTGGAAAGCAGCAAATAAATATTACCTAAGTATTAAGGTAAGTATTAAAAAAAAAAAACAACAAAAAAACAAAAAACCAAACTGGAGAAGATTATTTCATCTGCCACTTCAGAAGCAATTTATCTTTGTTCCTGGGAAGGCAGGTTAGGTGGAGAACTGCCTCAGTATTGTTTTGGAGAGCATCTTATGTTCAGTAAAAGACAACCTTGGAAAGTAATGGATTATTGCTTATATTTTAATCTTTCATTTCTTTCAGCTAGACTATAGTACTAGGTACAGACCTGAGGGAACTGAAACACATAAGCTTCACTCACCCTGCATCACTCCAGGTCTCTGATTCAGAGAGACAAGTCCTCTTTGTTTCCCACCACAGAGTTCAGACACTAAATAATCAACAGGAAAAAATTGCACAGTGTGGGTACAGTGGTGTCTGGGAAGGCTGGGTGGTAGTGACTCCACTCAGCCCCTGTTATCGATCTTCAGCTCAGGGATAGAGAGATAAGTGGTCATTTATTGCTGCTCATGTGACCGGCCTGCAGGTAAAGGTGTAGAGAATAGTTACACCCAAGGTTTCTCCTTTCCTCACTGCCTGGCAGCGAGCAGCTGAGAGGATGTAGGAGCACCGAGTGAGAAATGCATTTGCTGTGCTCACATCTGCTGCCAAGTGTGGCAGTAACCCCTGTTGTTGCTAAATAAATCCAAGTTTTGGTTAATGTCCAGATTCACCAAGACATCCTGTGCTAACACTTGTGTCTTTATTCTTGGGTAAAATTTCCATGGGACCAGGTGAGCCGGTGCTTGTTTCTTACTGATGAAGGTAGAGCAAAGTGTGTTTGTGAAGGGAGAATTGCTGCGCTGAAAATCGGTGAAGCCTACTGGGGCTAGATTAGAAAAAGAAAAGAATAATTAACTGACTCACAATCAAAGTCTTAGTTTCCATAATGAGAAAATAAGTGTGTTTTCATGTGCTTTTTTTCCTGTTGGTATTGTGCATGTGGGTAATTTGTTTCCTTCTCTTTCCCAAAGGTAATGTTCAAATCCCCACGTAAAAGGCTCTGGTGTGCAATAGGTCACCTGAAACACTTATGTACGCTAGATGTGTATCAGATTTTTCTGGCAGTCACATTTAAACAATTAAAAGTTTGTTAGTTGATTTGGAGAGCTGATACAGTACCCCCCGGTGTATACAGTGCCAAACACATCCAGATGATACAAGTGATTTTTGTGGAAGTTTCAGTAACAAGCACTAAGTTAAATTAGTCCCTATGATAAGAGGTTACCACCTTATAAATTATCTTCTGCCTAATGATTCCAAGAACAGTGACATTATGGGGAAGGACTTGAAGCTTTATGGCATCTAAACTTACATACCTAACACAGCCCAGCTGCATTCACCTTGGACTGATCTATAGTCAATGTGCAGAGAGAGGAGTTTCACCCCCAGAGCAGGTAAATCGAGCAATCATTCTGAATCATTTAATAGTACCCATCTCTGACTAGGGAAAAGTCTACTTAGAGCATCTGAAAAGAAGTAATTTTGTTACCTTAAAAAAAGAAATTAAAAAAAAAAAAAAAGAAATAAGAGAAAAAATAATAATCATGTAATTGTTTTTTGCCCCAACTCTCCCAGGTCTGGCAGTGTGGAGGAAGCATGGAGGTGTTACCCTGTTCTCGCGTGGCACATATTGAACGCACAAAGAAACCCTACAACAACGACATCGATTACTATGCAAAGCGCAACGCCCTGCGGGCGGCCGAGGTCTGGATGGATGATTTCAAGTCGCATGTTTACATGGCGTGGAACATCCCCATGGCAGTGAGTACAGGTCACGCGCTCTCCCGACCAGAGGCAGAACCGTGGATGGCTGCTCCTAGTTAGCCCTCTGAGGTGAAGGGTATTGCTACGGTTGTACAAAGTCAGCTAAGCTTAGGGGGACGGGTGCTTTCATGCTGGTGTGTGCTTAATACAGAGAGTTCTGCCGTATAAACTTGCTTCCTCAGTGTAAGTTTTGTTGTACGCTTAGGAGCAGTGGCACAGATTTATAATTTAACTAGAGCACGATGTTTCAGGTTTATGTGCTTCCTCAGAAGTAGTCGTTAATTTGGGATGCCATTAAGCTTTGAGGTGTTCATATGCTACAGTGGTGAGGACTACAGAAATGTCCATAAATAAATATCATCATTCATTGTGAGACTCAGTAGGCCTCACCAGCATAAAAAACAAAGTATGTGATAAAAGAATCGCACATTAACTAGCTTTATTGTCTACAGGCTGAGTTGCAATGTGGACACATTCTGTTTCTTACTGCGCGTACAAATTGTAGATGGCAGGTGGGGACCTCTAGGAATCCATGTAATATAAATATTAGATAAACTGTAGGTTCAATTTATCACTTTATTCTGTAACTGTATCACATGCTACATCTCCACTGAGCATAATTCTTGAAGAGAAGAGATATATGTTATGTCCCAGTCAGGTGGAAGCTGACTGCTGCTGTATTCTTTAGTGGTATTTGCATACAAATTATTCATGTGAAGGGGCAAAGGGAGAACAGCTGAGGGGAAGCATAGTCTGATCAGTAGGAAATGATGGTTTAGTTATCCTTATATGAAGAGTTTGTCCAGAGCAGATTGAAGTAAATGGAAACAGGAATGTTCCTATCAGAACGGGAAAAGATGCCAACCTCGCAGTGTCTCTGTGAATATTCAGTTATGACATAGTCCGTCAGAGTCATGGGAGTCTTGTCACAGACTTCCTTGGATTTAGTCTGTCCCCTAAATATCTACTTGTACTTTGGTACCTAGGAAATATATCAAAACCCATTTTTGTTCATTCCTGTTGTAGTTTTGAAAATGCATATACCTAAAGGAGCAATATTTCATTCTTCTCCAAGTGATATCTGAGTATGTCAGAAGTGCACACATATCTGAATTTCCCTTACTGCTGTTCAGTATTGGGCACTGTCTCTATGTAGATGTGTTTTGGTGACTTCTTTTGACATGAGAAATAATTGCAGAGAATTATTTTGCCTTAACAAATGGCAATACTGCATAACTTCTTTTCCACACAAGATTTCCATGATAGGACAAAGACAGAGCAGTGTCCGTCTAAGTTTTTAGGGGCATTTTGGCCCTGTCTGCATCCATTTGATAAAATGGCTGGTTTCAAATAGGAGATGAACAAGTAATCTTGGTAAATTTGTTTGCTTGAAGCCATCTGCAAATGAATTCTGAGAAAAGATGAGATATTTAAATAAACATTTACACCAAAACATGATTTCCTTTAATATCTCTGAGATTACTTATTGATGTAGTTTTCTGCACTGAGTTATACAGCACTGCTTTAAAAAAAACCCAGGCACATCTACATTAAGAGACATAAAATCAGCAGAAGTACTGAACATTAAAATTTTCTTTACATAAAAGAAATTGATTGATAAAATGTGCATCATAAAAAATAACCCCATTAGCTCTCAGGAAAAGGAAGCTAGTGTTAGCATTCGCAGAGTTGTTCCACTGTGGTGTGCAGTCTAGATGACTAAGAAGTACTCTGCTGTTACAAGCCATAAGAAAAACCTGCAGGAGAACTAGAAACCTTGCTGCTTGGTTAAAAAGGATACATCCACGTACCACATTCTGTGGACAGCTCGTCCTTGTACCTTCACCTGTAGCCACACGTGATGACTGCAGCTGATACGGAAGCAAGCGCAGCATTTTCATAGCTGCTCAACTTGCTGCTCTCCAGTTGTGTAGGCATGTTGTTCTCCCCTACCCAAACCCATCCAAGTGAACCCTTTCATAACTCAAACCGTCTTTTTCACAAGTTGTGGAGGGTCTGTGCATAATGTGATCTTCGGACACATCTGCAAGATCATATTCCTATAACCTTCAGGAGCAGGTCAGTATAGCTTTATTGTAGTTAACCAAATATTTGGTGTGACCCTGCTTATGATGTATTCCTTGACAATTTTAGTGATAAAGGAATCTTATATTGAGTGATTTATTGTACTGAGTGCCTCCGAGAATTGCTCTCCTTCCCTGTAGCCCGAAGTAGGACGTAAATTAACATTCATTTGAATGGATACTGCACAGAGAGCTCCTGACAAAGTGTGCATCAGCAAGCAGCAGTGAGCACAGCAAACTCTTTATGTGGCAAACAGAAAAACCTGTTCAGTATTACACTTGTATTCTCTCCTGAAAACTAGACATCTGCTGGGGACTCTAATAAACCCTGAGCTAAGATTTGCTGCTGTCTTGTAACCTAGCACTGGACATAATTTGTAAAATGTACAGAAATCTTTCTGGAGGAAATGTCCAAAGCACTTAAGACAAATCCATGCAAAACTCCCCAGTTTCAGTCCATTTGATTCATATTGTGTCGGAAAAGACTTTTAGATGAGGTAACTCTTACTGTCTTAATGTTAACCTGTAATGATTTATAGTGGTTTAAATCAACAGACACTAACTCAGAACCTGGCATTTTTTAAATGGCTGCATTTCATCACAATGGTTTGATTCTTCCAGCCTATGTTTTTCATGGGATTTGTATTCAAACATGAATTAAATTCTGAAGTAGAATTATAAAGAAGGTTTTGAGTTTCATTGCATTTTATGGCTCAAATCTGCAAAGGAGCACCAGTTCCAGTAAAAACTGAATGCTGGCCTATACAAATGTTTAATAGAGCTTTATGACTTTTTGAGCAGCTCTGCTTTGAAGTTTGAACAGGTCTGTTCTGATCTCATTTACAGTAGTGAATACCCAAGGCTGTTACTCGAGTAAACCATGATCAAGCTGTCATAGCTCAGATCAGAATTACCACCTAGATTCCTAATGAATCTGAAATCAAGTTCAGGTTTGATTGCAAACATTTAGAATTGCTCTAAGTAACAACATTCTTCTTGTATTCTTATTATTTTGATTTGTGTTTGGTTTGTGCTTGTTTGTTATCCTTCTTTTTTCACTGACTTTCATTAATATTTATTGTCTGCTCTCAACAGCAGCTGTTTGATGAGCTGCTACTTACAAAAGAGAAAGAAGAAAGGGAAATACAGCTTGATATACCAAATGAAATCCAGTTTGGTTTCAGTAAAGAAAACAACCGTAAAGTCAATGCAGTGAGATTTCTTTATTCTTTTTCTGCTTTGCAGAACCCTGGAGTTGACTTTGGAGACGTTTCTGAAAGAATAGCTCTACGACAGCGACTGCAGTGCCGGAGTTTTAAGTGGTACTTGGAGAATGTCTATCCTGAAATGAGGGTTTATAATAATACAGTCACTTATGGAGAGGTACTGTATGTCTTTGAAAATACAACATGGCTGCGTTAGAGCAATCCTTTCATATTAGTGGTGGGTATCAGGATGTACTGAGCAATCTGTAGTCAGCATGGTAGTAGTAACAGAAACTCCCTCCTGTACTTTTAAACAACACTAAGAAGTGTGGCTTTGAGAAGCACGGTCCCTCTCCTTGGAGCCCATCAGGTGAAATCATTCTCACTAATGATGATATGCAACATCTTTGGCTTTCATTTTAGAATAGAGCAGCTCTGCGAACATAAATTCGATGTAATCGTTTTCCCAAATAGGACACTAAAGACATCATCAAAAACATCAGTCAAAGAGAGATAAAATAATTACAGTTAATGAGAACAGTTGAATTTGAATTTTAGGTAAAAAACCACCCCTTTTTTTGGGTTTTACCAAACTCTTTGAAGGATTACGTTCACTTTATTAATTCAATTTTGCAATTCTCTTTGTTCAGGACAAAAAGCAACATATCCTTGTTCAGATTATGAGGTGAGGCTACCATTTGGCAGCTCTTTATCTCATCATGAAAAAGTCGTTAGAGGAAAAACAATTTTGCTGTTTTCATTTTCACTTGGTGTACCAGTAATGAGTAAGACCTTGGAACACGTACTCGGAGATGGCTGAGTGGATAGGTTACCTAACCCTAATAAAATGACATATCCAAATGTGATAGAAATGTGTAGACGTTCGGTTCACCTCATCTGTCTGGATCATTTCTTTCTCTTCTGTGAACCAATCAAAACTCCCACATGCACTTGACCCCAATCTTTAAAGAAGTCAGATGTGCCTTCTGTAACTCTTTAAATCTGTATCACGTGCCTGTGATATAAGGACGGCTGTCACTTATGACTGTGAACTGGAGCGAAGTTCTAGGAGCTCTCTCGCTGCATAATGTTTTTAAGATTCTGTTTTAATTGTCTACCTGAACTACAATTAAATCCAAAAGCAATATATTTCCACTCAAGACAACTAAACGGACATTCTTCCTTTCTGTTCCATTTGATTGACTTCATATAAAAATAAGTCAGGCACTTCAGATATTGATACAAAGTGCAAGTTTTATTGCATAATACCACTTTGCATCCTAATATAACTATCTCTGGCAGTAACTGAGGAAAGACATTTAGTAAATTCAACAGCAGCTATTAGTAACTGTCAGCTCTGAGAAGGCTGTTAACTGCGAAGAACATTGGCAGAACTGCCAATGTTGTGTCAATTATACCAGACGGTTAGCAAGCTGGGCTCTGAAAAGAAGTTTGTTTCTGCTCAGTGGTCACATAGAAGGTTCTTGAGTCAAACAGGTAGTTTAAGCGATGCAAGTATCTGATTCATCAAAATTTATAATAAAATGGAGCCACACAAGCTATTTAGCTAACATAAACTGACATACTTCCCTTTCAGTCTTACAGGCCCATAATGAAAAAAATAGAGGCTTCATCCTAATGACATCAAGCTTGTTATTAAATATTTTCTCTTCTGGTTATTTTCCTGGAGGAAAAGATGTCTGGGTTTTAGTGAGTTTAAAGGAAAATGAATGTATTGAGTAGATGTGAAACAGATTGAAACTGTAGTAAAAATATATTTCCTAGTGACTCAATTCACATTTTTTTTAAAGCTGTGTCATAAAGCTGTCTTAATCTTCTTTAGCCTTTATAGTACCCGAGTTATAAAATAAACCTCCTGAAATTCAACTGTTGGTAAGCCCCTTTATCCCATCAGATTCCCTGTTATGCTTGTACACTATAATATGAAGGAGTATTTACTGGTTTTCCTGACACCTCATGCAACAGCTTTTTCTATATTATGGGGGTGGCCAACCAAATACTCCAGAGTCTAAACCAAAACTGACCTGTTGACTGTTTCACAATGTCCAGCAAAATAACTTCTTGTTTAAGATACCTATAAAATTTTTCTATGTCCAAAATATGTGTGTAATACTTCTAGCTTGAAGAGAAAGGCAGGCCTGAAATTTCACAAGAGTTCTAGCTTGGTTTCATAGACTTGTATATTCTTGTCTGGGGAGGCAGATGAATTTTTTATTTCATTGGATCTCTGAACCCATACTTTAAATATACTGAAAGCCTTCCAACACTGCTCATCATTGCTGTATCCTTCCACAGCGATGTGCTTTATGTCACTTCTGTACCTAACCATATACTACATTCTCAACTTAAATAAAACTTTTTCACATGCTTTTTTTTATTTTTATGTAAGCAATAGGAGCAAACAAAAGGGTGCCACATCCAACACCAATCCTGGGTAGTTCCTATGCTGCTTGGTGAAGTCACATTCTCAACATATATAGGGTCAAAATTTGTATGTACACAAGGGTAATTTGGAGAAAAATTTGTCCTGGGTTTCTTTGAGTGAATTTTATGGGGTTTTGATCCTTGAGTAATTACTGAAAATATAACTTTAACCCAAGCTATATAAAGACAGCAGGTTGTCCAACTAATCTTTTTCTGAAGCAAATTCACTATTGGCATCCTGTCATATCTGGAGAATAAACATGTGTTTCTTGGAGAACAGTTTTGCATACTAGTTGTTTCAATATCTGTAGTGCAGCTAAGATTTCGCTGGATTGGACAAGCACATACGGATTGATGTCTCATACAAGTGTTTTCTTTCTGATTGGTTATAGGTGCGTAACAGCAAAGCTAGTGGCTACTGCTTAGATCAGGGAGCCGAAGAGGATGACAAAGCAATCCTTTATCCATGCCATGGAATGTCCTCTCAGGTAAATGGCTAAAATCCCATAACTGGTGAGAAAATTTTAAGTTGAAAAATTTTCAGAAGACACAAAAAGTAGTTTGGTCCGTTTGAGTTGAGTTTGGCAGTGTATTCCTGAGTTACAACGGAAAATATCTGGCTTTACTCTAGTCTTTTCGGGTGTCATTTCCAAGGTTGTTCAGCGTGACAATCTAGACATTAAAGATACCAGTTAGGAAAACAGAAGAATCATGATTATTTGTTTTAATAACAGAGAAATCCACCGAAGATTAATGAATTTAGACAGTTCGTGTGAGTGAGCAGCTCTTCTCATTATGACTCATCCTAGGAATAGTACCTTTTCAGATTAACTGTTCATTGGTCCAATAGGCTCCCGTGCAGAAATAATTTAGCAAGATGCTGATGTGATTCCCCAAGTAGGCAAAAAGCTAAGCACATATTTAACATCAGCTTCAAAGGGAATTAAGAATATCTTTTAAGTTAATACTTTTTAAAAACAGATTTTTTTTTGTCAGTCCCTGTGCATATTATTATTTTCTTACAGAATATTTTAAAACAATATTTCTTCTTTCCATGCTTATAATGATGTTACTTGTTTTTTAAATACAAGTTGGATATTATTTAAATCCAGGACTTGATCTTCTTCTGAAATGTAATTCTAGTTTCTTTTGAAGTACCATCTGAATCAAAACTATGTTAATGAACATTCTCATGCGTAAATAAACTCTGACCTTTACACGAACTTAACAATTATCTGAAGTTCAGTCATACATATATTGATTTGGAGTCCTGGCTCATACATCACCATGTAGGCATAGCAAGAGTTGCAAAATATAAATATTGCCTGTTGTGCTTAATTGCAAGCTGTTGAAGAGTCATACCTTATTAGAGCAAAGACAGACAGTAATTCCTACTGAGAAAATGTCCACCTTTGGCAGGATCATTTTGGAACATTTGACTGACACTTTCCTAGTAGAGGTGGATGGAACAGCCTTTGAGTAAGGTAACAAATAGTGTTGCTTAATTAAATGTAAATGAACTTTTCAAAAAGACTCTAGTTAGAGATGTCAAGGCACTCAGACTTGAGTCTCTTGCTCTGTTCCAATTCTGACAAGAAAGTTGCTAATTTAAGTCCTTCCAGAAAGACCCTTTGCAACATCTAATCTCCTATCATCATGCTAGCATTGAGAAGAATAATGAAATATATGGTTCTGACTGTAATTTATTTTGCAATTTAAGTCTTTAACCTACTTGTTTGCCTCCATGACTCCTTTTTCATAGAATATGCTTTGATTTCCAGAAGAAAGCAAATAGATGAGGGCATATATAACTGTGAATTTATTTGAAAGGAAGTACAAAGTGCCCAGCTTCTCCTGACTACCTCTGGTAAATTTGGGGGCATAAGGTAGCTCACGTCTCAGCATCCAGCTCTGACCGATTTTTTTACATTAAGGAACAGGTAATTTTAATTTTAGTAGGATGTAAATATGTTGCCTAGTAGATGGCCTCTTTTGAATTGTGGGCCCTAGAATAGACACTGGGCAGCCCTTCTCAGGTGCAAATAGTGATACACAAAGTACTTGCTACCCAAGATATTGATGTTGGGTAGTGACCATTTAAATCTCTTTTGGTTCACTTCTGTTACAGGTCTTCAGTGTATGTGAATTTTCTGGAAGAGCCTGAAAAACTGGTTTTAGATTTTACATTACAGACACAAGCTAGAGCCCTTTTGTTACTAGCACTGTACAAACACAAAGGAAGAGAAAATCACTCTTCCCAAACCCTTAAATTTCAAAGTATTCTGTGTGTAAGAATTATGAAAGTATGGGAAAGGCAAAATGTTAATCTACCAAATCATCCTGTAGCACTTTCCATTTCCCTTTTTTTTTTTTTTTTTTTTAAAAAAAAAAAAAAAAAGTTTTCATTCTGTGAGAAACACCAAGCAGAAGGTAGAAGTGATGTATTATCTAAGTTGAGTATTTCATAGACAAGCATGGGTTGGAGCCACTCAAATGCAGCCGAGTTAATTAATGATTACACAGCTGGAAAACTTCTATCATCTCACCACAATTTACAAAATTAATTCAGTATGAGAACCACAGCTGCACAAACCCTAATCAAGGATATTCAAGCACATAGCATGAAAGGTGTTGACAGCAAGCGTTCTAATATATTAAATAAACATTTTTAAGGCCCCTCTTCTAATCAGCCTGGGTGAGCAGAGTTGTCTATTATGTTTAGCTTTCAGTTTCTGACGTTTTTCATCTCAAGCATAGGGCATAAAATACCCCTACTGAGTTGAGATTTGGGTGAGTCGTATATGCCTACTGAATATAAATGAATATAAATAGGGAACTCATTTTCACCAGTTAGGTTGTCACTGGTGCTTGATGTGTGCTACTGGTGTGAAAGCCTCTCCCTGTTCAGCTACAGTCTTGTTTGTTTTTCATACTCTTCAATTCTGACAAGCAAATTACCAGTGATTTTAGTATACATATGGTTCCGCTGAAACTAACAGAAATCAGTCAAGTGTTTAAAGAAAGCTGAGGTAGGAATAAGATTACGGTTCCTCTGTGGTAAAATGTTTTTTAATTCTACTTCTTACCCTTCTATTTCCCTTACATACTGCACACCTCTGGTGTTGTCCTCCTGCATTACCAGTGAAAAATAAAACCACTCCACTGTTACTGCTCCATAAACAAAGTGCCTTTCCCTGTGTTTATTCTGAAGATCAATTTTTACCATGATAAATCACATCTTTTCGATGACATCAGCTATTAAATTTCTTTATTCAAACAGGGACAAGATCTTTTATGGATGCTCTGGAATGCATTTAGCCTGAGTTTACATCAATTTAGCTTAATGAATTTGACTCAAGCCAAGTCAGGGTATGCTAACAGTCAGGAATATCCAGACAAGGTTTGCATCAGTCTAAGTTGATTTCAAAACTCACTTCACAGAAAAGTAGTGTAATTTTTATGTGTGTTCATTAGAGCTGCAATTTAAATCTAATCCCTTTCAGGAAAAAGGTTTGCAAATACTGCTGGGAGAGCATTAGGAAATAGTCCAGGGCTAGAGAAGATTCAAAAAAACAGAGCGATATATTGGGGGTCTTGAAGTGCCTTGCCTCTGTGTGTGGCTTGTCTTGCACAATCACCTGTAAACCCATTGGTTCTACAGCACTGCATTATACCCTTTTGTTGTACAAGAAATTAAAAAAAAAAAAAAAAACAAAACACAAAAGTACAAAAGTGGGGGGTGAGGCAGATGACACAACCCCCAAAAGTGGAATGTGTTGTTCTGGAAGCTTCTTAGAATGATTATAGGATGTGCAGGTTTTGAACCATCTGAGAGCACTTATACGGCCTCAGTGGAAATATTCACTGTCTCAGGGTCTGTCTTGACTGCTGTGATGTGGAGCTGATTATATGGTATGTGAAAGAAGAGGAGAAGTTAATAAAATGGCATCCTGGGATAGAAGCGCCCTGGTGAACAGCCTCCTTCTCCGCCTTCCTCTCTTCCCTTTTCACACCGAGAGAAAAGAGGAGGCACTGCAACTGTGAAAGCGAGAACTCCCTCGGCATTGAGATCAAGCAGAAAGAAGGGAGATCTCAGCGTTCCTGGAGCTCGCAGCTATGCAAACAGATGGAATAAGAGGAGATGAAAGGCTTTACTTAAACTGTTGCTTGAGGGCAGATATTTAACATTTTGCTTGGTAGAGCTGTGGTTTTCCGCAGTTGCACACTGGGTAGCAGGTCTGATTGCTCGGGGCGGATGAAAAGGCAGTTTCTTAACTTGCAGAAAGCCATGGGTGAGATTCTGTAACAAACCTGGAAGTTTGGTAACTATTTCTCTTGTGATCTGTTTGTCTTACAGTGACAAGTATTCTGGAGGTTTAAGGTATTTTCAGTTCCTATATAGCTCGATTTCTGTGTCGGCTTACAGCTTGCTTAACCTGCAGGGCTAAAGGATCAGTAAAGATTTGCTTTTGTTTGGAGAACAAGAGCAAGAGAGAGGAGTTAAATTTAGTGTGTAAAGCTACCAGACCCACCTGTCTAACTGTTTCCTACAATTACCTGTTGTTATTTTGTGCTTTTTTTTTGCTTGACTGGAGATTAGCAAGAATGGTTTTTCTGAAGTCAAATCCCTCAATTAAAATCTGGCATTTACTGATGCTCCTGACATTCCAGAGGCAGCTCACTATTTTTGCATCAGATGTGGTGGCTTTGATAAACAACCTTTGACATCTCTTCCATTCTGCTCAGATTTCTGAACGGTGAATGGAAACGTATCCTATGTTATCACAGGTACAGCAGATAGTATCAGGATTAGATCTTGGAGTATTTAATAGAGCACTTGGCTTCAGTGTCGTTTATGTGGATCCTTCAGCAAAGCTCCACCCTCGGGTATAAAACTCTATGTTCTGCAGCTTGCAATGGGAGTATGTGGATACCTGAGGCTCTCAGCCCATCAAGGCTTGCACGCACTTTTTATTTTTCCAATGAATGGGATTGAATATTCCATAATAAAGGGGACTTTGTCATTTGATTTGAGCAGGCTGGCATTGGGAATGGATTTGGTGTGAAGTATCATGCCCTCAAGTTCTAATGCAGATTCAGAAGTTAGTTCTTTTTTGGTATGGTGGTGGCACTTAAGATCAAATTTGAACACGGCAGGTGCAATTTTCACTGTTTCATTGACTCTGTATCCCAGTTCCTGCTTTCTAATCTACAGTAATAAGCAACTTTAATGCTTATTTTATTTTCACAGTTTATGTCGTCTCTAAGAAGTTATGGTATGGTCTCTTTGGAGGGACACGTTATTAACTGTATAGTAGTTTCGTGAACCTTAATTTCTGATCTCTTTTTGCAGGCACTAAAACTTTTCTACATACTGTGGTCTGAACTGAGATAATTGTGGGTGTTTTTCTAGAATTTTATTTTATTTTAGGAAGAGCCTAAGTTTTTATGACTGTTGGAACTCTTGCAGAAAGCAGATTCAGGAAAATTAAGCCCATGATATTGCATTTAGTCTTGCCGTTGTATAGATACCAGTTTCCTGCACCGAGCCATCTCCAACTCTGTTGAGCTGTCATACAACTGCCACTTTCAATACTGGAGATAGTTTAATAGAGTTAGTGTATCTTCCACTTCTCAGCCCTAAGCAGAAATGGTAGTTTATGCTTTTACAGGCTTCTGTATAACATCTTTCCCAAGTATGTGGCTACTGCGATGCAGAGTGCATGCAAATCTGGCTATTGAGATTCTACAGACAAATATTTTAGACCATTTTAATACCGACACAGAAAATGCTGCTCATCTTAAACCACAGGGAAAGTTGTTCCTATGCTACAGAGCAGGTAGCCCATTATAAAAAGCGGTTCTGATAAGGCAAAGCTAACCAGATTGCTAGGTAGTGTTTTGGGACCTGGAGAGGTATAATAAAGGCTGCAGGATGAACACATTTTCCAGTCAGTGTAAGTTTTGGCTATGTCTACAGTCCATTTGAATTCTGCTGAGTACCTATTAGATATGAGAAATATGAAATACACAGGCAGGTTTTACTTTTTAAAAAAAAAAAAAAAAAAGTTTGTGGGTTGTGGTTTTTTTTTTTCCCCTCCTTTATATGGGGAAAAAAGGAAATTTCTCTGAGTTGGCAGTCCATTCATATGTCCTCCATATCTTTACAGTGAAAGAAAAAAAAAAAAAAAAAAAAG